TTAAATGGCCAATGGCCTGGTTTTATAACGCTCTTTACAAGTCCAAGAGCCCCAAAGCACAACTACGTTAATCCATTCACTAATTCATGCAAACATTCACTGTCATGATGGCAGCTTATCTAATTACTCACTTCATTCACCTGCTGTTGCCTCCCTGCTCTCTAATTATCATTGATCTTATTCACCTTCTTCCTCTGCTATATATAAGGTTCAGCCCAGCTATCGGGGCCAGATCATTATTCATCTATTTCTTAGTTTATTTGTCTATTCTTTGTTTATTTGTGTTATGTTTTTGTGTCAGTTATTTATGTTTGTTCCATTAGAGTTAGGGTCCTGGTTCATGTCCTGAGTCTTGGAAGCCAGTGAATTAAGAGGGTTTGGTGTTTGTCTCCTGTCTCCTGGTTGTGTCTATGTTCCCCTCTACTACTGAGCCTGCCTGTCTTCATTTGAGCATGTCTGTCTGAGCTCGATGCTGGACTCAGAACTCTGAACCAGCCTGAACGCTCTGAGGATTCCTGGAACCCTGGATCTGTTGGTTCCTGTTCGGGGTGGAACCCTTGGTCAGGCTTTGGACTCCTTGACCTCGGAACTGTCCAGTTCTGAACTGTTTCTCTGACCTGGATTGGTCTCCTGCCTGCTCACTGGGATTACTGCATTGGGGACACTTTTGACAACTCTGAGCCACATCTTGTTTGGCAGTCCATTGACTGGATCTTGCCTTCCTCGGAGAGGATGGACTGAACTGTTAAACCAGGTAACCTGTGTTTCTCCCACACCCAGATTGCCAGTGATGGGTGGCGCCCCAACCCCCCCTGGAGCCACTGCGGTCCGCTTATCCTCCGCAGCCCGCGATTCCTGTTCTGTGTTATTATTTTTCAATAATTAACACAGTAATATTGGCAAAGCTACATTGTAGCCAGAGCTTCCTTGGAGCAGATTAACAGAAGCAAGGCTGCCATATAGTGCTATACAAGGCCCTCTGACCATATCTAAATATCTGTTATGGAGGGTGTGAATCCCTCTGCCATAACCTTTGGGGGTAATATCATCAGAGGCATTAAGAAGCTACACCATCATAGCTCCTCCAGACATCCTGTGTTACATTAATGCACAGCCACTGTGTATATAGTACATAGCTATATACTATATGTGGTACATTTATATTAATGTAAACTACCATATCAACATGTTTAATAACATGCTGATATGGATTCATTAGGCTACTATGGATTAATTAGAAATAGGCACCTTTAAGACATAGGGATGTTAAATAAAAATAAAAAACCGGATCATCAATCTAACAAATAAATGTGTCTTATGAGCTTCTTGCAATAAACAAATAATAATCTATGTTATGTTCAATGACATCCAGTTTGCATTTTGAAACTGTTGACGTTAAATTTTAACCAACAAGCTAAAAAAACACATCCGCTTAGTTAATTGAATCATTACGGCTGAGTAGGTTTGAGATTAATTCCTCCTAAGGAAAAGATCAAAAGCATTCCAGTGAGAAGGACGTTGAGGGAAATAGGAGCACTGAGGCTTGTGGGATAATCCCATTAAAGAGTGTATATTCAACAGGACAGAAAATGATTTGCTGTACAGTAGCTATGGAAGAGATTTGGGTGTAAAATGGAGAGGAAACTAATTGCACTGATTTAGAACACTGCAGCATGTTATTCTGGGTTCTGTTGAATTATCACTATAAGTACTGACCAACTGCAGTGGAAGTGAATTCATAAGCCTTCTCTGGAACAGATTGGATTAGAGAATACAACAGAAAATAATGTGTCATTGCTGTTGGGATAATTTTCTTTGAAAATGTGTGAGTTTATAACACCTTGGTATTGGCTGCCTGTTGCGTGTAAGTAGTGCTGTTTTAATCTAATTAAGACAGTTCCTCTCTCTGGATATACAGTTATAATCTTTATTCTGTACGTGGCAAAGATTTGGAAAAGGAATAAGTGCGGTGTCCTTCAGCATAGAACGAAGTGTAATATTTTTTATAAGGCTGAAGTCATGGATGTCTAATCATCTGCTAATGATGTATGATGTAAAATAAGATGATGTGGCAGACTGAAGATGTATAAAAGCCTTTTTAACTGTTAATCGGGGCCACTTCCTGAGAGGTGAGGCCGGAGGTGAGCAGCTGCTTCCTGTGCATTCTAAGCAATTTCTCTGATCTGAGTAAGATTACAATTTCTACCAGAATCTCATGTCATGTCTCCTTGTTTTTTAATACATATAAGTTATGAAGTATTATTTAAAGAGTTTGTCCTGAGTGATCTCTTTTCAGGGAAAAGAACCAGAGAGATAGAGCATCAGGGTGCATACAAGAGTCTATCTTCAGCAAAGCTTAAAACTAATGAGTCAAAACCTATTTAAAAAAAAAATTTTAATACGATTTTTCACTGTTGCTTTGCGACAGACTGGGAACCTGTCGAGGGTATATACCCCATAGACTGCCAGAGACAGGCACTGGCCCCTCCGCGACCCTGACAGGACAGGACAAGTCGGAGAATATGGATGAATTTTTCATTGTATAACAAATCTGTGAGTTCCTTTAAAGAAGGTGTTATATGGAAAGAAAGCATTGGTCTTATTTAAGAATGAACACTGTGGGCTGCACTGTGTGCAGCTTAGAGCACTGTGGCCTTGCAGCTAGAAGGTTCTGGGTGTGATTCCTGGCCCAAGATATGCATGTTCTCTTCTTGCATGTGGGTTCTCTCTAGGTATTCCGGCTTCTTCCCACAGAGAAACTGGCTGGCGACCTGTCCAGGGTGTACCCCACTTTACACAGGACATAGGTACTGGCCCCACTGCAACCCTGAAGATTGATAAATGGAAATCGGTGGTCTTAATTGAAGCATTTAAAAGTTAGGAGAAAGGATATTCTGTCTGTTCTGTTAAGACAAGAAATTTCACAAACAAAACAAAACTCAAGCTAATAGCATATTTGAGCTTGACATAAAGTTGATCAGTTTTATTATTTGGAGAAGAGGAATTACAGACCAATAGGTTTCTAATAAGAATGCACTGCAGGTTAGTTAGTTAATATGCTACTGTACTAATTTCTCAGTTGTTATGTCATGAATACAATTTGTTTGTTAGAATCATTCTCCCGTTATAATGATGGGCCCTTTCTTGGCTTTTATACACTGTTGTAGTTACATCAACTGGGCTTACACAAATAGAGACATGATTGGCTTTGTAACGGTTTATGAAATAACTCAAGTTACATTTCCTGATATTTATATAAAGGGCCTTTTCCACATTACTAGAAATCCTCCTTTTTTCTTGATTGTTTTCTTGATTATTGGAAAGAGATACCTCTATAAATTATACTTAAAGCAAAACAATTATACATATTTTATTTTTAAGATAGATTATTCCTTATACAGTATGTGTATTTTTTATACATCCAAACACAAAAGGTTACCCAATTATAAATGATGTAATGTTTTTTTCCCAAAAAGATTAAAGCAGAATAAATATCATATCTTTCTAAAATAATATTAATAGAAAAAGACTTATATGTGTAAAATATTTATTTATTGAAGCTGCATAACAGATCTCTTCTGTACTGTAAATGAGAACATATGTGTCAATGAGGCTACCTGAATAAATAAAGGTTTCTAACAATGAATCTCAAACTTTGGCTTCAAAAATCAGCCCTCTATGTTTGAGAGAGGGGTCAAAGGTGCAGCTCTGTGGTAAAACGAACCCTTTTTTTTCATTTGAAAAAAGAACAAAATGAGTTTAGAGATTGCACTTAAACTGTTATTAACATCTTGTGATATATATTAGGCCAGTTTGCATCATTTACTTCAAACTGTTGTCCCTGCTTGAATTTCCTAAGCAGATTTACACCTTAACTTACAGTCTTCCATATTACTTCCAACATTTCATAATCGATATGTTTCATACTGTACTGCTCAAAAATGCGGAGTCTTCTTCATGTAGTAATACCTGGAAACCAAAGTGTGTCATCATGAACTAATTATTCAAAGTGCTGCATTCTCTTAGAAGAAAAAGCTCTTTTTTAAAAACCAATGACCAGTGAAGCTTAAATCACACAAGTTGTCATAGCGAGTGATTTTGGGTGGATCAATTATTGATGAAATCAGCGACAATGAAATTATTAGGGTCTGAAAATATTATGACGGATTAAAATTTTGTTATAGCAGTCAAAGAAACTGCTATTTCCTTTAAATCAGGCCAGAAAATAATATTCTTTACAGGTTTTGATCAAAGTTTGTTACTTATAAGTTTCAGAGAGATTGTAGATATTATTTGCATTTTAGAGGGCTTAGCATCATTCGATGCAGGTCCAGCAGATACTGCATATTTGCACTATATATATATATAGTATTTCAAGATATATATATATATATAGCATTTCAAGACATAAATATATATATATATATATATATATATATATATATATATATATATATATATATATATATATATATATATATATATATATATATATATATATATATATATATATATATATATATGTCTTGAAATGCACTGAACTTCCATATCAGTGCATTTTTGCACCACGTCTTTTCTCCCATACTGTTTACATTTGATCACTGCTTCACTTTATGAAATGGAAATGTTTATTTCACTGCTAAGCTGCTGTTCATTCACTGTCTGAAAGCTGTACAAAACGATATTTCGTTTGGTATACACTCTGTGTATACAAAATGACAATAAAAGTAGTCTAAGTCTCTAAGTTTAGGCTTAAAAAAATATTTTCGAGTGTGTAAACCAATACGTACATTTTTTCTTTCATTTAATTTCATGTTATTCTTTGTAAATCCTTTGGTATGAATAGTGATGCATAAACTGTTTGTAGAATTAGTTTTTTGTTTACTGTTTTGATTTCATTCAAAATTAGGGCTTTTGAAATAAATATTTTATCAGGGTTCTGTACATGAGGTCTTTTTTGAAAAAGGACTCACAAAATCGGAAAGTAAAAATGTGCTTTATCATGCAAGTCATATTTATTTTCATATTGTCAGTCAAAAAAAAAAGCAGAAGAACTAAAGAAATGTAAAATAAAACAGAAACAAATGAAAACTTAGAGCAACCAGTTCCGTCCTGCAAGTATGTCACACATTACTGATTCAACAATTCAATCCAGCATCATCAAGAAACAATAAAAAATTGAAATAACATCAAAACAAAATGGAATAAATAGCTTATCAAACAAGCATTTTTACAACAATGACTAAAACATTTGGAAAATACAATGCTATTATTTATGGTATGAGTTAAACAGTAAAGTTGTGTGCACAAGTTGTGTTTTCCACAGAAAAGTTGGATAATCTTGTGATTGTCTTCCTTAAGTTCACAATTGTACTTTCCTTGGTGCTGGTACTTTTCATTCCACAGAGCAGAAGTTTTCCAGACTGTTCTCTCTGGGTTTGGGAATCTCATTTTGATCCAGTAGTCGATACTGGAAGTTAATACGGTTAATATAGTTCCCACTGGAGACCATCCTCACCACAGAGTTATCACAACCTATCTTCATCTGGGCTGAAAAGCAAAAATGGAAAAAAGTGAGAGAGAAAAAAACAAAACAAAAAATAGAATTGATGCTCTCCAGCCATCCAGGTTTAAAATATATTTCCTTTTTTGTTTGTGGACACTCGCTGTAATGGCATAACACAAAAGTGCTTGTTGAAATAAATACAGAGGCAATAAAATCCCTTCATAAGGCAGAAGTTTAAACTGAGCATCAGAATACAGAAGAAAGGAGATTTTAAGGACTTCTTTGAAAGTATGTGGCACAGAGTATTCCACTGTGCGTGCATGCGTGCGTGCGTGCGTGCTATCTATCTATCTATCTATCTATCTATCTATCTATCTATCTATCTATCTATCTATCTATCTATCTATCTATCTATCTATCTATCTATCTATCTATCTATCTATCTATCTATCCATCCATCCATCCATCCATCCATCCATCCATCCATCCATCCATCCATCCATCCATCCATCCATCCATCCATCCATCCATCCATCCATCCATCCATCCATCATCTGACACATGTTTGGGTTATTTAGAAAATAGTAGGACATTTAAAATGTCTTTGTTTTAACTGCTCTCTAATAGTCATGAGGGAAACACAAAGTGTTCTATATAAAATAATACAAAAATATCTTGTAAGATAACATTGTTTAATGTTTCCTTTTTTGAGCCATTCCATAAATCTGAAATGTAACCTACTAGCAGTGCAAAACGCATAGTAACATGACTTCTTTGATCATATTGCTATTCAAAAAATAAATAATACATTTTGTGAGCATTTACAACAGAGAGTCCACGTTGGATCTGTTTTGCAACAAAGAGAATAATTAATAAGTGCTTTGGTTATATAAAACCAGCATAAAATGTCAAAATTTACATTGGAAATGTTTGGGTTTACGTCATGTGGCATGTTATCATTTTGAAGGATTCCATTTCTGCATCGTCTAGCAATTTAAAAGCATTGTTCACTGCTGACCTGATAGCGTTTTAGAGAGTAGAACTAAAACAGGAAGCTATATTACGGTCATTTTTGTGCTTTACACAAAACAGTCAGGGTATAATTAAAAATAGAAAGCTTCTGTTAAAAATGAAAGAATAGAATGCAGCTATTATGATGGTGATGTGAGCTAAAGAAATGAAAATGGATGTAGCAGACTTACCGAGCCCACTGAGGGAGAAACACAGATCGGCTACAGGGAACATCTTGGAGGTGTCTACTCCATTTCCTCCCAGCAGCTCCACATAGTCACCAGATCCTGAGCAGCCTGGCCATATCTGTCTCTGATAAAGTACACACACAAAGTAAAATGACTACGGTACTTCTATGAGGGTGGATCATTTGCAGTTGATGTCCCTTGCTGTTCAATCTTGACGTTTGTTCCCATTTAAAAAATCTGAACAGTGTATACATTTTGGAAGATTCACAGAAAACATCTGCTTCACAGCAGCACACATCCGTTTGGCTGTGATGTGTGATGTCACAGTTTTGTTTTGTTAAAAATGTTAAAAAGATGACTCAGAATAAAATTTTAATGCTGTATGAGTTGTCTGTTTTCTTTCCATGTTGAATAACTCTTCATAATTGCATTCCAGCAGTCTTATTTTTTATTGTCATGTCAATACTAGTGGTGCAGTTGTGTTGATTTTGTTGTAATGACACATGTGTAGTGCACATTCTGCCACATGCATGCAAATTGACAGCTGCATACAGGATGTTATACATATTCACAACTGTAAAATATTTCTGTATAATACAGAGCCAAATGCATGATAATGCAATACTGGAAAAAAAGAAAATGTCATGAGTTACTTTAGATGAAATAAATATATTCAGGTGTGGGATTGAGGTATGCTAACCATACAAAAAATCTGCGTTTTATCAAGCAGTTATATAAAAACAACGACAGAATCTATGCCTTGAATCCTTTTTTCCTTGGAAACACATTTGCTCCATATTCATCAGAGGAAAATCCATTAATTGAAAACTTCTCTAACGCAACAAGATGTTAACTTAAAAAGTTATGACATAAATGCTTAAATATCAGTTGAGTAATCAAATTAAAATGTTATTATTGATTATTCATTTGTAAAGTAATCATTATATAGTTTGTAATTGTTAAAATGACAGAAGCTGAAAAAGTTAATTTATTTTCGTAAATTATAGATTTGTGTGCAGTAAAAAAAATAAATAGTTAGAAACCATATGTATTTTCTAGAGTTAACCCCCCCCAAACTACTGTCTAAGTTATACAGGACACTGACTAAACTGGATGATACAATATCTCTTCCTATTACTAAATGGGAGGAGTATTTATCAGTCAGCTTTGAACAAAACATCTGGGCTCAGATATGTCTAAGAACTTTTAACATGACCAGAAACCCCAATTTACAATTAATACAATACAAAATCCTCCACAGAGTGCACTATACAGGTCAAAGATTATTCAAGATGGGTTTTGCGCAATCTAACATCTGTCCACAGTGCACAGGCAATCGACTTGATAATTATTTTCACGCGCTATGGTTATGCACGCCGGTTCAGAGATTCTGGGTACAGGTATGTAAGGATCTATCACTGTGCCTGGGTTGTAAAATCCTAATTTCCCCTTCAGTTTGCTTGCTGGGTGACTTTGAGGGAAGCTCTATGGGAAAAAAATCGGTTTGCTTGGCATTCACTGCATTATGTATCGCAAAGAAAACTATCCTCATGAATTGGAAGAGTAAGGATAAACTCAACATCAATCAGTACAGAGATCTGTTGTTGGATCATATTAATCTTGAGACAGCATCTGCATCCCCATCAGACCGATCTCTCTGGGCTCCCTTGATCGGCTCCATCCCTTAGTGTAGTGGGGGGCTATGGGGCGTCTTGTGGGGCGCGGGGGCTAGTTCGGGGGTCCTTGGGTCCTGGGGGCTCGGGGGGGTGCTCGGAGCGGGGTGCCTGGCGGGTCTGGCCCGGGGGACTGTTGCCCCCGTCGGGGCGGGGTCTGGGGCGCCGCGGGGGGGGTCCTGCGGCGGCCGCGTGCGGTGCTCTTGGGGGGTTCCGTGGTGGCGGACGTGGGCTACTGGCCTGGTGGCTGTGCTGCTGCTGGGTGGGGCTGGGCGCCGGGCATCGGTTCTTTTGTGGTGCTGGCCGGGGTGCTTCTGCTCTGCGGGGCGTCGGGGCGTGCCTCGTCTTCCGGTGCCGGGTTTCGGTGGTTGGCCGTGGTGCTTGCCATGGTTGCGTCGTCCGGGGGGGGCGTGGGTGGTCGCGCCTGTGGCCGGGGTTCGTGTGTGTCTGTTGTGGGCGGGTTGCGGGCGTCGGGGGTCCCTTTGGAGTGCCCCCGGGTCGGGGTGTGGCTTCGCTCTGTTGGGGCGGGTGCCGGTGACGCGTGGTGCGGTGCATCGTGCGCGGCTTGGGAGTGGAGGGTTGCTCGGTGTTGGGCGGCGGGGGGGGGACGGGCCGTGGCCGGCGTGGCCGTCCTCCTCTCGGCGGCCTGTGGGCGGTGCGGGGCCGGAGCGGGGTGGGTCGTGCTGCTTTCGCGCCGGGCGCGGCGGGGGGTGGTGGGGTCGCGTCTGCTGCTTTCTTTTTGCTGCTTGTGCCGGCTTCTGGCGGCTGGGGCGGCCTTGCTGCTCTGGCTCTCTGGCGTGCGCCGGGTGGGGCTGCTCTGTCCTTTGCTTTGCCTTGCGGCTGTGTTTGCTGTGGTCGGTGGGGGCGGGGTGGTTTCGTTGTGTTTTTGGGTGGGGGAGTCCGCCTGGGGGCTTGGTTGGTGCCGTCGGTTCGTCCTTGTCGGCCTTCCGGTATTGTTTCTGTTGGGGCTGCTCGGGCCCCCGCATGCCGGCGGTGCGCTGCCGGGGGGATTCCTGTTCGGCGGGCTTGCCTGTCTCCTGGGAGGGCAGGCATGTTGACTTTTCTGGGGAGGAGCATCTGGGTGGAGGGGTCCTCGTGGTGTGGCGGTGGGTGTTGGGCACTGGCTTGTTTGCGGCCGTTCTTCTCCGGTGAGGGGGAGAATATTATAATTTTTTTGTTTTTGTTTTTGTTTGTTTTTTGTGTGGGAGGGGGTGTGTGGGCGGGGGGATCGGGGCTTGGAGTGGGGCTCGGGATTTGCGCTTAGCTGGGTTGTGTGGCTTTCTTCTTCTTCGGATTGGTGCTGTGGGACCGGTGTTGGGGGGAGTCGTTCGGGGGCCGGGGTCGGGGTGGGGGTGCTGGCGCCGGTGCCCGGGGTTTTTGGGCATTGCCCGGCCCTACTGCGGGGTGGGTCTGGGGTGGCTCCTTGGGCCTGGGATCCCTGGGGCGCATTGCCCTTGGGCGGGGTCCCCGGTGGGGGTTCGGGGGTTCGGGTTCTGTGGGGAGTGCTGCTTGGGTTCTGGGCCGGTGTACGCCTGGCTGTCTGTCCCTGCTGCCACGGCCTCTGGTGTGCCGGGGTGCCTCGGGGCCTGCTGGGCTGGGGGGGGCATGGACATTAACACCTATGGCAAGTGCTTACCCCCTCACGGGTTTGCACTCTGTAAGTGGGGGAAGGGGAGGGAGGGGGAGTAGGTATGATCTCGGCCTGGATGTCTTCTGTCGCTTGTGTGGTGAGTAGCTTGATTGTTATTGTAGGGGAGGGATTACATCTCCGGAGGGGGGGTGGGGGGTGGTGATAGAGGGAAGAAGATCTTTGAAGGGCTTTGGGTCTGGCTCCCTGTCTTGGTCCTGGTCCGTGCTGCCCCCTGGTGGGGCTTCGTCCGGGGTGGGGGCTCTGCGTGTTGCGCGTTGGCTGGCCGGCTGGGATTGTCCCTTCCCTTATTCATTTATTTATTTATTATTATTATTTTTTTTCTTATCTTCCTTTTATATTTTTTTATTTATTTATTTATTTATTTATTTATTATTTTTTTTTTTTATTATTATTTTTTTTTATTTAATTTATTTATTTATTTATTTTTTTTTTATTTTATTTATTTATCTACTTATTTATTTATTTATTTTTTTTATTATTATTATTTTTTTGGATGGACAGGACGGGGGGGGGGGGGGGGGTGGAGTCGGCTCCGTGCCCGGCTGGCTGGTGGGTCCTGCTGCCGGTCCCGTGCCCCCGGGCTATGGTGGTGAAACTGGTGGGGCCCCCTTCTCTGGGGGGGCTCTCGGGGAACGGGGGTGCCTATTGGAGTCAGCGGGGGAGCTGGCTCCCTGGGAGTGCAGCAGGCACCCCAGTCCTTTGCTCCCCATCCCCGAAATCCTCCCTCTGCCTGCTCCATCACTCGGCCACACATGTAGGTTTTTGGGGAGGGGGTCGTTACTGGAGGGCCACACCTTCTGATGACGTCCCCCACCCCAATTTTATTTTGCATTTTAGACACTTCCATCTACATCATTTTCACAACACACATCTATGTAGGGCATTTTCGGGGGGTGGGGGTCAGGGCCACCGGGGGGGGGGCTTATTTTATGGGCCTCACCACGGTCGGCCTCCTCCATCCCCTCTCGCATCTAGACATTGAGGGTTGAGGGTTGTCGAAGGGGGAGGGTGTGCTGGCACCGTCTATCTCCTGGAGGGGGGGTGGAGTGTGCCGGACACCCCCTCTTGGTACTCCCAGTTTTAATTGCATCTGAGAGCAACACGCAACAACACCACATTCGAGCGGGCGCAGTGAGGATCGGGGTCTTCTCACACCCCTGTTCTCCGGCTGCCGCCTGGAGTCTGGGGCCTGGAGGAAGAGCGGGCCACCTGGTCCGTGGTTTTGGCTGGGGCTGGCTGCGGGGCCTAGGTGGCCTGCTGGTGGCGGGGCTGTCACCTCTGCTCTCCCCAAAGAAGGTTGGATGGAGGGGCATGAAGTGCCTGGTTGAAGGTTTTTTTTTTTTTTTTTTTTTTGTTCTTTTCGGGGGGGGGGGGGGCGGTTCTGGTTGGGTGGCCGGCGCGGGATGGGTGGGCCCCGGTCCCGGGGGGGGCTCTTGCGGGGGGTGGTCCGGTCCGTGTGCGGGGTGGGGGGCCGGGCTTGAAGCAGGAAAGAGATGGGTTGGTGTGGCGGTGTCGCCGCTCCCCTCCCCTCACATCCGGATTTTAGGTTCACTTATGGGGTCATCCGATAGTCCCGGGACCGACCACCGGTGTCACCGGGTTTTTGGTCCTGGTATTATTGGATGTGAGTGTTATGTGTGAATGTGTGTCTGCGTTGTTATTTTCTTTATTTATTATTATTATTATTTTATTCAAATTTTTTTTTTTTTTTTTTTTTTTTTTTTTTTTTTCCTGTGGTACGAGTGGGGGCACTTGGGTGGGAAGGCATGATTGAGATGGTGTGTTTTTTTTTTTTTTTTTTTTTTTTTTTTTTTTTCTTTCCCAGGTTGGGGTCTCAACCGCACCCTCTCCCAAATACATCTCAAGTCTCCGCTAAGTGCGGAGCCCATTCCCCCCGTCCTGCTCTCCCTCCGCTGGCTGGCGTCGGGGCTCACCGGTGCACTGGTGGAGCTGGGGGTGGATGCCCGGGGGACTGCTGGCTCATTCCTGGCGGCCTCTCCACTGGCCCCGGCCGGCCGGGGCTTTGCTGGGGCTCCTGTCTGGGGGTGGGGTGCCCTTGGGGCCTCGGATCCCTGGGGCCTGGGACTGGATCCGCTTCGGGGTGGGGCTGGGTGTTGTTCGGGGATTTTCGGGGTCGGTGCCGGTGACTTCGCTACGATGCCGGTTCCTGGGCGGTGTTTCTTTCCTATGCCGGTTCTGTGGTATCGGTTCGGGGAGGGGGGGAGCTGCGCGGCATGGTGGGGTGCGGGTCTTGGGTCCTGTTTTGGGCTCCGGTTTTTCCGCTCGCACTTCTCCTCTTGCCTATTTATTTTAATTGTAATTATTAATTAATTTATTTATTTACCTATTTATTTATTTTTTTTTTTTTTTTTTTCTCTTCCTCGGTGGGGGGGAGCGGTTGCGGGCGGGTCGGTGTCTGGTGTCCGCTGTCGCATTGTGGGGGCCCCTTTTTTTTTTTTTTTTTTTTTTTTTTTTTTTCTTCTCTTTTTTTTCTTTGGGGGGTTTGGCATGTCTGTTTTCTCGGGGGGCAGGCGGGCCTGCTGGGTGGGGGTCCTGCTGGCGGCGCGCCGCTGGTGTGTGGGGGTCCGGGCGGCTCCGGCGGGGGTAGTGTTGGGGGGCCGGTCTGGGCGGGCTGGCTGCGCTGGCTGGGTATTCGGGTGGGTTTTCCCTCCTGGAGGCATGGCGGGGCTGCTCTGTTCCCACTGATCGCGGCGGGTGGGGCTGCGGGGCGGGTGTGGGCCTGGGGTGGCTATGACCGGCGTGTGGTGGGGGGGCCGGGGCGGCGGAGCTGCTCTGGCCGCGTGTCAGGGCCTGGTGCGGGCTGCGGGGGGGGTGGCGGACGTGGCTGGGCTGCTTTGGCATCGTCCGGGGGGGAGGCGGCGCGGTTCGCTCCGCTCTGGCTTTGTGCTGCCCCTCGGGCTGCTGGGGGGGGTGGTTGCGCCGGCTGCGGTCTGCTCCTCTTGCGGTTTTGCGCCGGGCGGCTTTTCTGCTCTCGGGCTGATTCTGTGCGCGGTGTGTTTCGTTGCGCGCTGTTGGCATCGGTCTTGGTGGGGTGGGGCTGCGCTTTTGGCCGGGGGGGCGTTTTGGGGGGGGTCCCGCGGCGCTCGTGGCCGGTTCGCGGCGGATGCGCATGGGCCCCGGCCGGGGGCGGGGCCGTCTTAGTGTTTTCCTGGGTGGTGCGGTCGCGGTGGGTGTTGCGGCCGGTCGCCGGGGCTTGGTGCGGGGGGGCGGGGCGTGTTTCGGTGCTCTGTGGGGCTGGGGCGTTTCGGTCGGCGCCGTGGGGGGGCTGGTGTTCGGCGCCCGGCCCTACTTCGGGGTGGCCGGCTGCCGGCGGGGCCCGCGGACTCGTCCCCGCGGCTCCCCGGGGCGCCGGCATGGCGGTGGCTGGGGGTCTTCCTCGTGGCTGTCTCTCCTCCTGCCTTGGTGGGGTCTGATTTCCGGGGCTGGCCCCGCCTTGGTGCCTTCGCTTCTGGGGTCCCCTTGGGCGCCTGGGGCTTTGGGTCTCCCGGCGCTGGACTCAGTGCTCTGGGGGGTGTGCCTCTCCGGCTCTCCACAACCACTATTGAGCATTTTTTTCTATGGTTAAAACTTTACATGCACAAGTTCACCCTCACAAACAACTACAGGTGCTAGGCTTCAGGTACTTAGAGATTCACTTCCAAACAGAAACCCCACATTCATATCTTCAGGTAACACAGAGTACATGTCAGACTTAATAATATTACTTTAGTGATAGTTTCAAGGTGTTTGCTTTATTGTATATCTCGTACCATGTTTTTTGGTTGTGCTGTTCTTTTTTCTTTTTTTTTTTTTTTCTCCATCTCATTACAGGTGTTGAAGCAGACTGAAAATGTTTTGTCATTGTGTCCTTCCTATCTCCTCTTTCTTTCATCTTTTGTCCTGTTTTTTTCTTTTTCTTTTTCCTTCTTCTTCTTCTGTTTTTCTGCTCTACTTACATTGCAGTGTCCATATGAACTGTAAAACTCCCTGCATAATTATAATAAAGCAATTTATATACATGAAACAAGTGGAGCGGTATGGCAATTGCGATACCGCTACACTTGTGAAAGTAAAATCTGTTGGGCTCCTTTTGGCATCAAGACAATTATTCTTATTGCCACCTTGCCAGACAGGACACTGTAAAAAAAAAAAAAAAAAAAAAAAAAAAAAAAAAGAAACCATATGTATTTTCTTTCACTAATTTTTCTGTAAGGATTTCAATGTATAAAAAAAGGCAGTAATTCAACGGGAACAGTAGAGGTCAAGGCTTGATTGACTTTTGACTACAGAGGGTTCATGTCTTTTTCTTTTTTAATTCTTAAAACAAGTCACCAAAAAAATAAATCTGTACACCCAGAAGTACAGTAGAAGCATTATTTAATTCCTAGGCTCTGCTAATCTGGAGCAAACTCAGAGAAGAAGACCGAGAAAGTCGAAGTTAAAAGGTAATTCGTTTCAAACTGCCTTTGACTGTTGAAGTCAAACTATTTAATAAGGCATCGTTAATTTAAGGTTGTGGTCCAACTGTTTTATTTGTTTTATTGTATGCTTTTATCATGTTTTTATCTTTACAATTAATCTGCTTTTTTAAATCAATTTTATTGTTTAATTTAATAAATACAGTGTTTGGAAACACTCAATTTATCTATAATTAAGTGACCAACAAATCTTGAAAAGAACTACATATGAGTCAGTTGTGTTTTCAGACTAAAGGTCAAAATCTGAAAAAAAGTGCATTATTTACAGGCACTAATAGGGTTTGTGAAATCTTGCAAGCACTGTACAAATGTCTTTAGATTTTGTAAATGCCTTACCTGCTTAAGCAACATCAAAAACTATCAGCAACTCGTTACTTTGCCTTTGATGAATAGGGTTCGCTTCAAAAAGTAAATTAGAATAAATCAATTACAACCTTCTGTTGAAGGTTTTTTAGCAAGTTTTCAAACAAACATAATTTGTTTATAAAGAACTCCAGCACAATGGCCAAGTTTTTTTTTTCTTTATCTCAAACTATTCCTTCATCTACAAGAAGTATTTCTGTCAATCTGAGTCTTACCAGCGGGCTGATCTCATTGTTTTTGGCATCCCCTAAGCTCAGATCTGTGAGTCGGATCTCCACTGGGTAGATGATGGAGAAGCTGCAGTTGCGGCGCTGGTGCTGTATCACCATGGTGAAACTGCCCTCTGGATTTTGGGACATAATGTTGCAGGCTTTGCACACACAACACACAGACACACATTTTACATGAACACAAACAGGAAGAGAGGTTTCAGATTTCAAACATTTTCATCATCACCTGAGAAACTAATCATGGATACCTTATGTGACAAATTGGACATAATCAGGGTGTTACCAGGGATGAGACAAGTTAGGATAAAACATAGCTTGAACCGGTCACAGTTTATTCACACTACATTGGTACAAGCTGTAGTCAAAACATTTAGTTAATTTATAAAAGATTAACTTAGAAAGTTTTTTTCCACCCACTAAAATTAATAAGTGAGCGGATGACAGTCAAATTTGTATAAAATTTATGAAAGTTTAATTATAACTACTTTTACATTAATGTTGTTTACCTTAAAATGTTTAATTCTAATCCCCTGAAAGCAATCTTCATGGGATCTTTGCATCTTTGTCTAAATGATTATGTTGCTTGGCACAGTATTAACATGGTGCTCTTTAAGCTGCAAGAAAACAAGTGCATCCTTTTTATTTTTATTTATATGATTCCCTTATTATAAATTTATGCTTGATGGAGCATAAATGTCAAGGGAGAAATCAAGCACTATCAGAAACAATAAGGAAAATTGTAACACTATTTTTTATTTTACTATTAATTATACGGACATGACTGGATGACATGGATCAAAGGCATTAAATTGTAGATGTCTTTGGAATATTTCTATTTTTCAATCAAAAAAACTTTCAGTTACTACAACTTGTCATTACCCTTTCATATCAATGAAGCTTTTTCTAATTGAACTAAAGTGAATTGAATATTAAGTTGTTAAACTCACGGAAAGGGTTGTTCACTTTTTTAACAGCAAGGGTGAAGCCACTCTCAGGGCTATGAATGCGAAAAAAGATCATGGCAACATTCTGGGAGGACCGGCCGGAGACTGTTGATTCAGCAGACGAGCAGTAGTCTGTGTAGCGCTCGTGTGGGAGGAGAGGATGGTCATTGCTGCTGGGGAACTTCTCACCTTTCAGAACCCAGCCGTCAAAAATCTAAACCAAGAACAGATAGAGAATTGGCTAAGTATAAAGCAAGGAAGATTGTTGTCATAGGATTGATGATGCTAGAAAAAAAAAAAATCTTTTAAATCTGAGTTGACATTAATTAGATAATCTTTATTTATGATAATGGATAAACCTAAATAAGGGTTGCAACATTTCGTCGCATTATTTTACATTCAGCAGGACATGAAATGAACAGCAGATGAGAACCTGTGTGTTGGACTTTAAACCATTGGCTTTTCACTTGAAAAAACTATGATTTAATTTACTGGCTGCTATATTGTCTTTCATTCAGCTGTTTTTCCGAAACCGTAGATCATCCCTAATCCCTATTTTTAACCCAAAGAGTCTAAACATGTTCTCATTCTTTCCCTCTGCCAAAAAAACGTTTTCCAGTTTTGCCTGCTTAAACCAAAACGGAAATGTTACTGGCAGCCTTGGATCCCCAACTGAAGCTGTTTTCCTCCCACATTTGCTCTTGGGAAAGTACAGAGGCTTTGCAGTGGTATTTTCCCCTCAAACGTTGCCTTATCCCTATTTGGATTTGTTTTAATTCAATAGAAGGTGATGAAATGGAATGTGTAGAACTAACTGCCCTTTGCTCAGAGAACAGAGGTTATTTTGGCAATTGCTTGAAAGCACCTTAATGAAGTCTCCAGCACTGCAGTCAATGCTGACGTCAGAGAGCTCAAGAATGATGACCTCACTGGGCTCAGCGATGATGAAGGCAGCACAAGCCAGCTGTGGCCGAGTTGCAACAAATGTGAAATAGCCTTCAGTTGCCAGCATGTCCAAGCATCCTTTAAAAAACACAAACAGAGTTTCAAATACTTCAGAGCGCATTGTATTTATAAAATATCCCTATTTTCTGAGATGTTTTGCTGGGAATTCACAAGACAATGCAAGTCTTTGCAACTATTTTGACCTATTTAGGATATTTTCAAACTGGTTTCACGATTATTCATGAAATTCACGGTTTCTCTATAGTTTGGTCCCAGGTTTCAGTTGCCCTTTCTATAGCCACAAATACTATATTAAAAAGAGAGAAAAAAATTAATTACTTTTTGAAATTGTTTACTTAATCAGAGAACTCCTTGTTTGATAGGTGAGCCACGCCTCAAAACATAAAAAAAAATAGTTTGTTCACTAAGAAAACATTTCCAAATATAAACAGCAGAGTATAAGTTCCTGTTTTTCCTTCCTATTTGCTATTAAAATATAATACAGGTTTTTACCTCACTGTATATTTTGTCTTTCTCTTTTTGGAAAAAGCTATGTTGTTTAAGAATACTATGAAATTAGTTGTATTGATATATGCATATACTGTATATTGGCTTATCATCAGGTCAAAGAAGTAGAGGAAAATGTATAGGTTGGATAATGCATTTTGGGAAACAGTGCAATTAACAAAGTACCATACTATATGAATCAATAAAGAAATAAACAAAGAAATAAATAAATATTTTCTCAAATGGCACTATTTACAACAAAATTAAATAAGTATTATTTATCAATAACTTCCTTTTATTAACTGCAGTGCTTCATTGGTCTATACTTCTTTTTATGGTGTCTTTTTACAGCCAGCTTGCCTATTAGTCATCTGACTGATGAGAGGGCTGATAAAAAAAAAAAAAAAACACATATATATCAATGTGCTGCAACATGCCACCTTGGAATAATTGAACGGCAAAATATCTGTCTCCTGATGTAAATCAGTTTGAAAATGTACATTATTGACATTTTACCATATTGCAGCATATTTGTGTATTTCTGAATGCATTTTGTAGTTTTGTAATAGACTTAGACATATCTACATTGTCATTCAGATTTGATTTGCCAAATGCATATCTGGACAAGATTTTGTTGTAATTCCTCAGAATGGGCGCAGAAACAAAACACCATAATCATCATAAAAAAATGTAGTTACAAAATTAGGAATACTTTTTAATTAAATGTAATTCGGCAAGTTTAGAAACTCTTACTCTTTAAAAAAGAAAAAAGAAAAACAAATGTTCTGAAGGGATCTTACTAAGAGGTCGGCGAAAAATAAAATCCTCTGAGTCTCTTTTCTGGGCCAAACTGATCAGAGAATACAATCCATCCGAAGCATCGATGTCCTGCATGGTACACACATAGTCATTATAACCAAACAAACGTTTATTCTTCAAAGTTTTTGTTAAAGACTGATTTATTTTAACATTTTCAAAGTTTGATCGTACCTCGATGTAACGAGTGAGTCCAATTCCAGATAGCAGGGAAACAAGACAGAGAAAGAGCTGAGCGCGCAGAGCCGCGGACATCCTTAGGAGCGTCTCTCCACAAATGTTCTCCGAAATGCAGAAAGGACTGAGTTACTGCGCAGCCTGAGAGTACGCAGCTTTTATAGCTGCACAAACAGAAAGGCAGGCCAACTTCACAGTCACCGACTAGGCTACTCAGAGCAGAATTATCATTTTAATCAGAAACTAGAAATAGCTGCTATTTAAACCCATGTTTGAGTATTACGTATGCTTGGCGGCTTGGAAACTAATGACAGTGGATGATTTGATTAAAAGAAAAGCGGCCTCATTAAAAGTCAAGACAAACAAACAGAAGTGCCGCTGTGCATTAGTTTTACAGGTCAATGTTTGGCTGTGTAGAAAAACTTGGCTCGGGTTGTTTTTTTTGTTGTACTATTTGCGTCTATGCATATGGTTTGAAAAGAAATAAACGAATCTGCAAAGAGATGAGAAGCTGATGGGTTACAATTTCAACTGCGGCAGTATCACGTGACTATAACTGAAGTATGCAGAGCAATTAGCTACTGAGCAAATAAACTCTGAAATGCAAAATCAATACAAGTGAAAACAAGTTAGCACGTGCGTTGTGTATTTTTGCAATATTCATATTTTAACACAACAGTTGTATTCCTTTTGGGGAATTCAGTTGTATTTACATCTAAATAAGATATCCCAACATGTTTTAAAAAAAAATGTGTGGTTAATTGTATATATTGTAAAATATACTTTTTGTCCATTCATTTGTGCAGTTCTTTTCAACAGCTGCGGCATTTTTCCTTTCACTGATTGAGTTCTGGGAAGCCACTCCATTCCAAGTAGGCTCCCGATCTCACTCGGTCTGAAGGGATCATATTAAGCATTGGGGGGGCACTTCCCCCTAGCTCTTATAACTATTGGGACACACTAACCTTACACATGAATGCACAAAATTGAGTGCTAGGGACCAAATGGGACTAGGCCTTTGCCTAATGCAGCATAACTAAGCTCAGGATAACCTGAGTCGATCTAACTACAAGCTTTATCAAAAAGGAAAGTTTTAAGCCTACCCTTAAAAGTAGACAGAGTGTCTGCATCACAGACTAAAACTAGTAGTTGCTTCCACAGGAGAGGAGCCTGATAACTAAAAGATCTGCCTCCCATTCTACTTTTAGAAATTCTAGGAACCACTAGTAAACCTGCAGATTGAGAGCAAAGTTATACAAGTCCATTATCTGAAGCCATGAGAACATCTTTAGCGACTTTCACCAGGGCTGTTTCAGTGCTATGATGAACTCTGAAGCCAGACTGAAACTCTTCGAAAAGTTCATTATGGTGTACCGTAGGTGGCCGCACACTTGTTTGGAGAATACTTTCTCAAGTATTTTAAATAAGAAAGGAAGAGTGGATATAGTTCTATCACTGACCATCTGGGTCAAGAGACTGTTTCTTTAGTAAAGGTTTAATTACAGCAACCTTAAAAACCTTTGGTGCATATCCCTGTAACAGTGAGAGATTAATCCCATCTAAAATGAAGGACAAGATCAAAGGGAATACTTCCTTAAATAACCTGGTTGCAACTGGATCTAACATACAAGTTGAAGGCTTAGATGAATTAATAGTTTTCCTAACTTTGAAAGTTATTTTTGTGTGTGATATATCTCTGTATCTAAGTAACTCTAACTGTCTAGAAGCTTAGCATAGTTATGGCTTCTTTCTCTCCCTCTCTTGACTCTTTTCCAACTCTTACTTCTTCCTCTCCTCTCTCCTGCTCTCTTTGTCAGATGTTCAGTTATTCCTCTGCCTCCTTTAGTGATAATGTTTGTTTAATAGGGCTGCTCAGTGAAACAGTGGGTAGCACTGCTGGCTTGAAGCAAGAACGTTCGATTCCCAGCCCTGGGTCTTCCTGCATGGAGTTTGCATGTTCTCCCTGTGCATGTGTGGGTTCTCTCCAAGGACTCCAGCTATCCCCCATAGTCCAAAAACATGACAGGGTTACAGGTTAATTGGCTTCTCTAAATTCTTCTTAGGTGTGAGAGTGTGAATGGTTAATTGTCCTGTTAGTCTCTGTTGCCTTGCGATAGACTGGCGACCTGTCCAGGGTGTACCTCGCCCATTGACTGCTGGAGATAGGCACCAGCACCCTTTACAACCCCAGCTGGGATAAGCGTGAAGGAAAATGGATGGTATGTGTTGTGTTTTTTAGCTTTGGAGGCGAGGGTGTCAGAGTTGGAATCCAGCCTTAAGGCTTTTGAACATCCAGGAGTTAAAGTAGGCCCCCCCACATAGTTGTCCTCCAACAGTGCCTGAGCAGCCAGGCAATTGGATAACGGTACACAGAAAAAATAGTTGTGAATCTCTGCCAACTGGTCATCACCAACCAGTCCACATTTGTAACTGATTTTCCTCTCTCATTGACACACCCACTGAGAAGCCCACTCTGGTAATTGGGAGCTCCATAGTCAGAAACGAGGCATTAGAGACACCAGGGACAATAGTAAAATGTTTGCTGGGGGCCAGAATGGGCAACCTCAAATTCTACCTGAAACTGCTGGCTAAGGATAAGGTTAAATACAGTAAGATTATTATTCACACGGGCGGTAATGACACCGAGTTACGCAGATCGGAGATCACTAAGATTAGTGTTGCTTCGGTGTGTAAGTTTGCCAAGACAATGTGGGACTCTGACCAGTGATGACATGTTTAGTTGAATGTCATCATTCAACTGCTGATTGTTTAGGTGGTGTCCTGAAAGCAACATGGGTTACAATAATAATTGGCAATCCTTTTGGGGAAAGCCTGGTCTGATTCTGAGAGACGGCATTCACCCCACTTTTGATGGTGCAGCTCTTCTTTCTAGGAATTTGGCCACATTTATTAGTCCTCCAAAACCCTGACCACCCAGGGTGCAGACCAGAAAGCAGAGTCATAGTTTAACACACCTCTCTGCAGCTTCTCTACTGTTACCCACTCATTACTCGATCCACACAGTGTCTTGCCCATTACCAAAATGTAATAAATTAGAGGAGAGCATGAGAATATAATAAAAATGAAAATAATTCCAATTGGGGAAAAAGTTTAAATTATTAAATGTGGTTTATTTAATATAAGACCACTTTCTTCAAAAAGTCTTCTAGTTAATGACTTGATTTGTGATAATCAGATTGGTTAATGTTGCCTTAGAGAAACTTGGCTGCAGCACAAGGAGTATGTGAGAAAAACTGAGGCAACTCATTCCATCCATCCATTTTCTTACACGGTTAATCACAACTGGGGTCGCGAGGGGTGCTGGCACCTATCTGCAGCTGTCAATGGGCGAGAGGCGTGGTACACCCTGGACACGTCGCCAGTCCACCAGGTTTCTTACTCTGAATTTTTATATGCGTTTTCAGAGTTCCTCTCTGATTTGATGTTGAATACTGAAAGTGTCATAATAGTGGGGGATTTTTACACCCATGCTGACTTTGAAGGTGATACCTTAAGTGCAGCCTTTAATGCTATCTTAGACACTATTGGCTTTGTTCAATTCATTCTCATCTTCATGCTTTGGATGTTGTGCTGACATATGGCATAGGATGTGAAGAAATAACAGTATTTCCTCAGAACCTTGTCCTCTCTGACCACTTTTTAATAACCATCAGGATTACTTGAAAAGATTTCTCCTCACCCAAAAGACGGTTTAACTTTAGCAAATCATTATCAAAAAGTTATACATTTCAAAGAATCTGTTTCACTAACTCTCACCTCTGTGACGGTGAGCAGTGCTGCATAGGGCAAAAGTTTAGTTTATTCCCCTACACAGGTTGATTGTTTTGTTGATGGGGTTGCTAGTTCTCTGGGTACGGCCTTAGACAACACAGCTCTTTTGAAAAAGAAATACCTTAAAAATAGAAAGCTGGCTCCCTTGTTTAATGCAGAGCTGCACACTCTGAAGGAAAATGCTTGGAAACTGGAGAGAAAATGGCGCTCCACATGCCTAAGGGAATCCTACCTAGTCTGGAAAAATTGTTTACTGCTGTATAAGAGGATCCTTTGTAAAACAAAGGATATTTCTCCTCATTAATAGAGGAGAATAAGAATAATTCTAGATATCTTTTTAATACAGTTGCCAAACTCACCTAGAGCCATAGCTCTGTTGAACCATTCATCCCACCTACTCTTAGGAGTAATGATTTTATGGGATTCTTGATAAATAAGATTGATCTTATTAAGAAATAAGATCATTAGCACTCCTCTAACTAACTGGAAAACAAAATATCTGCTATATTCCAAAGCCAGTGATAGAATCTGTGACATTCATGCAGAAGATAAATACAATTATTAGTTAACCAGCCACAATTTCTTCTGATCATTACAAACCAGAAGGACCAGAGAGTATTCATGAAAGAAGAAAATCAAGAATCCAACATCAAACCAGGTTCTGTGATGTAATTTAGTTTGCAACCGTATTCCAAACCAATTAGTACAAGACTAATTTTCCATGTTTGTGCTGTGTGTATGAAAGGTCAAACTCTGGTGCATCAAAGACTTGGAAATTATCGTTTTGTCAGTGTCTGTGCTCATGCATCCCATAAAACAGCACTCACTTTCTCAAATTTGTCTCCCTGTGTGTGCAATTATACACAGCTAATGATGGCTGACATTTTCTCCCGCTGATGAAGGTCTTTCAAGCCACACACAGGACTGTAAACCAGAGAAAACAAAGTTGTAATGAACACAATGAATGTATACTGGAACAGAGCCTCAGTCTGTTGTTTCACAATGCTGATGTTGACCTATTCAAGGGGTATTATTGTCCTCTTAAAAGCCAGTGACCACTAATTATAGTTAGTTGAACTACAGAGTCTTTGGTGTCAGAACCTATTAGTTGCATATTTTGTTTTTGGTAATCTTAAAGATGATAGAATATCTGAAGATCTGAAATGGTAGTGCAATGCTTCGTGATGTTTGTGGAAATGTACATTTTATGGTATCTTATGAGATTTGTATTTATGCTTTGGCAGTTTCATCAAATGTCACGCATTAGGTTGAGCCTTTCTCACCAAAGTAATACAACAAGGATGTATTACATTTGATATGTAACATAGTAATCGTTTAATTTAATTCAATTTAGATTCATA